AATTACTAACTGAATTAGATTTTTAAAGTATGCAGTAAGCATAGACAGTGTATACAAGTTGATTCAGCATTTATTGTAATATCTAGCCAACCTGATGAAAGTAGGATGGACTCTGCTATCGTATAGTGACTGACAGAGGCATCCCAAAAGCTTATGGGTAGGAAATAAGGGAATTGCCTTCTTCAGCTATTGCTCCCTTACAGCTGGTATAAGCCATGCTGCCTTTGAGCCTCAGCCTAATATGCAACTATTAAGCCATCGCGCCTATTCTTTGTGAATAAGTCTTGCCCTGGTGACTTAGATTTGCCACCCTCCGAGTCACTGTCTGTGGCCCATGGACCCTCAATCCCATGTACTCTGCATTCAAAAAGCCAGCATGCACGTGTTCATATTCCAGGGCCTCATTCTATTTTAGCCTCCAAGAAAGGGAGCAGGCATTATGAGCGTGAAAGCAGGCAACTGCCATCCCCCTTCCTGCAGGGTCCACCTTCCCCCAACCTGGCTAGGAGAAGTGATCAAGGCAGGGGAGGGGAGGATGGCATCTGGGAGTGGGTCAAGCTACTCTGTATCAGCAGCCGAGAGTTCTGCTTCTGTCTCCAGCTCCTGGGATGGAAAAGATCTTATCAGCAAAGTGGGGAGAGAGAAAGAAGGAGGGAGCTGGGAAAGCCTGAAACAATGGTGGAAGCTTCTCCACTCACCACAGGGAAGGAAAGAGATGAAACTATGAAAGGCCATAGTCCTGGAGCACCACTGCAGCACCAAGTTGCTGCAATTCATTCCTATCTGTGGTGGATATGAATCACCAAGGCTGTGTGCCTCTCTTTGGATCCTCCTTCACCACCTGCTTGATGAAAGAGAACTGAAAGGAGGAATAAAGACTGCAGCTCTCTGGTTTTCTCCTTTGACACATTTCACACGTGAATTAGGAGGAATAAACCTATTTCCTCTCCAAAGGAAAGGGGGGGAAAGGAAGAAATTTATTGCACCATCCCAAGCAACCTGGGGCCACAATAGGGATGAACGAGGGCTAGCAGACCTATCTAAGTGAACGGGACCCCAATGTAGTTTGGAGGCTTTCCATGGAAGGCCCGACAGGTAGCTTGGATGTTCCTATAAGATGAGAGCTGGAAAGAGCCTTTTGGGGCCTGCAAAGAGCCTTTTGGGTCCATCATTAGGGCCAAAAGACCAGAAGGAAGGATCTGAAACAACCCTAGCTGATTTACCTCTCAAAGGACTGATGGTGGGAGCTGCGAAATCCTGTGCTTGTTCTCCCTTTGCCTCCAACAGGCTTCTCTTCTATGGAGGCTTGCAAGTATGTCCTAGCAGTTGGGTGGAGGAGGAATTAATGGGTTTTCCTTGGAAAGCAAAGCTTCCCTTTGAAAGATTTTGCTGTTAATGCTGCTGAGCTACAGAACCCAGCATCCCTTACCATTGACTGGACTGGCTGAGGTTGCTGGGAATTGCAATTCAGCAACATTTGCAGAGTCACATAGATTATGGATTAAAATGTAGTTATTGCAATAAATAACTGTTGTATTTATGAATAAAAAGGTTTTAGTATTGCAGCCCTCAGGTTAATGAGCTGTCTTCATAGGGGGATGATTGGAGTTTGAGCCTCCTAATCTAGTCCCACTTCTAAATTTGTTCTTACAAGTGTTATGGCAGCAGATGCCGTATTGCTGTCTTGTTCGCCACATTTCACCTCTGCGGCTAACTCCAAGTTCCAACAGAGTGAAGGGGAAAACTTTCTATATTTTCCATGCTGTGGTTTATTTCATATACCTCTGTTGTACCTCTCCTTACTGATCTTCCTTCTAAACCCTCAAACCCTAAACACTGTAGGAGAACTGCTTTAGCCCTTAAATCATTTTTCTGATGATTTAAGGAGTATAGATTGATACATAATAAATGCACATAATGTAACATGCAAGAAATCATAACTACGTTTTTTCAAAAGTACTACAAAATCAGTAAACCATGAACCTTGCCATATAAGAATGTTTGCCAAAAAAAAAAAATCATTCTGGTATACTTTAGCATGCTTTCTTCCATGTGAAAAAAAAAATCCTGTGTAATTTGCATTTGCTTCATTTGCACTTCATAAGTAATTGTCATTTTAAATCTACCTAATTTAGGCTGTGCATTATTGTAAAAAGTATCTGAGGAATCCTCCTTTCTTTCTTGTTTATACTTGTGATCAATTCAAATTTTATCTAGTTGCTTGTATGGGTAAATGAACGCAAAACATTTTAAAAGAATATTTAATTATTGTTTGCATAAATATAAAATTTAAATATTCATAGTAAAACATAGCAATTGTAATAAGATCAGCAGGTGAAATCTTATTTGTTAGATATCCATAAAAATGTGTTTAATGGCACATCAAGAGGAACATTATATGAGTGCCATCTAATGGCCACATTTAGACCAGCAAAGCTGTTTAGTGGCTTGAACTGTAGCCTTCTGTTAATACCTGACTCAGAAGTTTGTTCTGGGTATACTCAAGTTTGAAGTGAGCAGCATGAACACAGCTGACTGTACCCAGTTGGTTTCAGCTGACACTTTAGACAGTACTGATTATGATCCAGTGTACCTCTTCCAAAGTCTGAAAGAATTAAAATAATATTAAGCATTATTGAAAAAGAATTTGGTAAATTCTATCAGTGTTGTTATAGACATTCATGTGCACCCTGGGTCAAAATTACATATCTTGGTTTTAGTGGGGAAAAAATTTCAAGTTCTTTCTCTTTTTCAGTAACACGGGATACCATTTATTCTATGTAATAACTAGGGATGAATCAATCAATATTACTTTCACAGATATTTAGCCATAAACTCTTGTTTCTGTGTTAATGTCTACACTGAAAACAACTCAGTCCACACAAAATGCATTTAAATACAGTACGTATTCTTTCTTCTCAAAGTGTACTCGTTAAATGCATTTTGGTACCTTTTATATGAAAAGGAAGCATAGTGGAAGGTGTGTCTCTCTTAATTTATACCAGAATTTGCCAATATCAGTTCTGCCAAGAATCTTTAGTCATATCATAACGATGTGAAATATTTTCCTGTGAAGGCCCAGCTGATTTTGTACAGCATAATGGAAATGCACAATATGATCGTAGCACAACACAGGGTAGGAAACGATGCACATTATAAGAAAGAATGTAAAGTTGTCAGTTTCAGTGGCAATTCTGTCCCTTCTTTACAATTTCAAGCAGTGTCATCTTTAGATGCAGCTTGATAGATTCTGCATCTCCAGGAATGGTACATGAGTCTGACATTCATTTCAATGAAAATAACACAGTCTGCATGCACGAATAAAATGGAATGTGAAAGTAAATTGATAATGAGGAACTTAAAAATGAGGAATGCACTCAAAATACTTTCTCAGCACATAACAAGCTGAGCTTAAAAATGGTGAAACCCATAGACATTAATTGCTATTGATTTTAGTGCGACTTAAACAAAGTGCCCCTTTCCTCGTTTCAGCAATTTAGTCGTAAGAGATGTATTTCTTTTCCCTTTCTGGCATCACTCTTAGTGAGATCTATTTTCTCCTGTCCTTATTCTGAATTGGTTCATACATTCAGAGCAGACTTTTCATGTGAAATTATCCTGAATCCTGTTCAGAATGAAGCAAGTAACATGCCCCTCTTTCTGTACAGCACCATCATAATCACATTCCCAGTACGATAACAGGCTAATGTTTACACCAAAAAGCATTTAAGGTAGTCCTCACCTAACAACTACAGTTGGGAATGGAACCTTGATCGTTGAGCGAAGTGGTCATTATTATTTCAGATCATGTAGGCTGAAGGCACAGAATTTAATTTAATTTTAATTAATTAATTTAATCTAGATAGATCGGGAGTACAAAAAGTGTGGTGCATATGCAGTCCAAAAGCACCCATTTTGTAGCTCCGAGAGGATGTGTGGGCTGAATTTTTCAGGCAGATTATAATGATGTTGTTATTAATGGGCAAAATGTGTACCTTAAGACTTCAAGACATTCATTGCACCTTTTAGAAACCCTCCCCCCCCACACAGTTCAGTTGATTGTTCCCATTTTGTGAGGTTTTAAAGAGTAAAATTGGTGACTTAATTCTTAGGAAAGCTTAAAGCACCGTTTTGCTTCTTTTATTTTCCCCAAGCTTCCAAAAAAACCAAACCCATGGCTTATTTGTAATTGCCTCCCTAAAACAGAAAAATGATAAAAATTTACAATAAATTAATAAAGGAAAAACTTTTGAAGTATGATCGGTAACGTGCAATGCAAAACCTGTTGTAACATAGAAGCCGACAGAGCTTACACACTCATGGTATGGATTATTAAAAAAAAAAAAATCACAGAGTTTTGAACAAAAGTAAAAAGGT